GAGAGAGAGAGAGAAGAGGGGAGGAGTAGATCTTGCGAGAACTTCCGGGCGGGTGAGAATAGCCACTTCCTTTCAATAAAATCACTTTCAAATCATAGGCTATGTTTGAAAGTCCACCAATGACCAATGCCACCATGGATTTCTTACTTTAGAGAAATATAGGTCTCCCTATCTGAGAGTGATAACAGTCAATTATTTAATTTTAATATTATTAGTATAAGATCTAGAATCTAGATCTTATACTATAAAGTTATTTAAATAGATAGCGAAGCTGGGAGTAACTCCATACTATAGATCTTAGAAACATAAGTTTAGGCTAGCTCTATAATACTTGATGAAAATGGCACTGCTAGATTCTAGATTAATGCACTTCTTGTACACTAAGTAGAATATTAAAATCAATGTACACTTAACTCAATCTTAGTTTTGAGAGACTGATATTTATATATCTAATTAATCTTTAAAAACATCAATAGTAGAATACAAGTGAGGAACAACTAGAATTAGAGAGACTTTTCTGGCTCTGGACCTAAATTTAAATCTCAACAAGAATAAATCCTAAAGTGTAAATTTCGATGTTTATGTACCGATCTAACGGTCTGACAAGTCTGTCTTCATAAAGCCACTGGAGTGCTGGAGTCAGTGTTTAGATCAGAAGACTTCCTTCTGTGCCTTGAGTCTGGAGTCAGTCAAGAACTCGACACGACTCAAGACTCACTCCAGTCCCGGCCTGTGCTTGGTGGATGATTGATTGTGATGCCACCCGGTTCCAAACTTACGGACACAACAATTCCAGTGTTCTGAATAAGTATGACCACTCAAAAAGAATTCACATGACCCTCTTTGGTTGTACTAAAAAAAAAAAGCATAGAAAAATTACCACGTCCACAAGCTGAATTCACATAGAGTTGTGAAGAGGAAGCTTACAAAGCTCCTCTTTGATACGGTCCGTACCCTTTTCCTTCCTCTGATACCTCCATCAGAACTAGTCCGTGTTTAGCAGACTTACCACAGCCTGTATCCTCTGCGCAAAATTGTGTGGGCGTAGACGGGTTCATGTACCGACACACAACAACCTTACGCTAAATAAGTTAACGCGTTCTAATTGCTACTTCCGCTTAACTTCTTATTCCTTGAGCGCTAAGATACACTGAACGGAGATCAGAAAGCTCTCTTTGCACCAAGAACCAGGAAGAGGGGACGAATATTGATGTCGTTATTTATGACTCATTGCTCGGTTATCGAGACAAATATCAAATTAACTCATATAATTATTTTTTAAACTATATATATGTTTTGAAACGTAAGAGTCTGTTGACCAAGACAATGAGACAATGCTGATGAGAATACATAATACAACATCATTATTTGCGACTTCTTTACTCTCTCCCAGTTAGACCACAGAATACGAAAAGTGACAGAAGGTACTTCGTAGTGGTGTGTTAGAAGAATTTGGAAGCGCTTTGTCATGAATACAGCACATCTCAGCATAAAAGATAACAGTAAGAGGAACAATTGCGGATACGATCGTTGTGAAAACAGGAATATTTCGTATTCCATTTGTGCAAAACGGAATTACAATCATTTTAATACAGTATTCAAAAACAGTAGCATGTTGAAGTACAATAATCATATACAAAATAAAATAATAGGCCCATGCAATTTGAGTATAAGCCTAAACTTTTAGCTACTATTTCACTTTCTGTTCCCTTACCCACGTCTGTGAGCAGGATAGAGAATTAATCTTCTTTCTTCTCCCTTCGACCACCCGCGGGAAACTCCAGGCCGAGAGAACTACTCACTCTTGCTATTATTAGCCTCCCTGGGCTGTCCGATTCGTGAGCAGTGAGCAGATTATGTTGACCCAATTTACCCCACTCATGATATTATACCACACATCCTCTCTCACTCTCTCTCTCTCTCTCTCT